ATGCCGACTTAATAGGGAAAAGAAACTTGCAGTACCTGGCTCTGTCTTGGGGAAATGAGGGCAAGGGTTTTAACAGGAACAATGATTATAATAGCACACTAGAAGAAGTGGTTCTTAACTTCCTACAACCGCACAAATATTTGAAAAGGTTGTCTATAAAAGGGTACAGAGGAAGTTGCTTCCCAGTATGGATAGGAGATCTTAAACTCCCGAATCTAACTGAAGTTACACTCGTTAGCTGTCGAAGATGCGAGAAACTCCCTACGTTAGGTCAACTTCCATTCCTTAAGGTTCTGTACATGCAAGGACTGGATGCAGTGTTGGACATCGGCAGCGAGTTTTACGGTGAAAGCACAAGGACAACATTTCCATCACTTGGAGAATTGACCCTTACTGATTTTCCCAATTTAGAATATTGGTGGACTTCTAATGGGTTCCCTTCTCTACACAAACTCACTGTCAATAAATGTCCTAGGCTAAAAAACATGCCATCATTTCCATCACTTAAGCATCTAGAGTTGCGAGGCTGCAATGATATTGTACTTCGATCAGCTTCGAATCTAACTTCTCTGACCAGTCTTATTGTTGAAGAATTTCCAGAGCAGTTGATTTACTTGGATCTTCTGCTTCAAAACAACATTCTTCTGATGTCTCTAAAGATTAGCTCTTGTCCAAAGCTCTGCTGCATCTCTCCAAATTTAGGAAAACTCACTGGTCTAAAAACGCTGACTGTTCGCTGGTGTGAGCAGCTACTTTCATTGCCAGAGGGACTGCAAAACCTCACTTCACTGGAATCACTGGAGATAATAGACTGCCACAGCCTCATCTCTCTGCCTGAAAGCATGGAAGGGCTGATCTCTCTTCGATCATTGTCGATTGAGAATTGCAGTAACATTACAACATTGTCTCGGAGCCTGCAATGCCTATCGGCCCTTGAGCATTTAACCATCATGTACTGTCCGAAACTAAACTCTTTGCCCGATGATTGGCAACATCTCTCAACCCTCAAGAGTTTGTCCATCTTGAGTTGTTTGGAGCTGGTTTCTCTTCCGGAGGGGTTAAAGAACGCTACTGCATTGCAAAACATGGAGATACGTGGCTGTCCCAGATTGCAAGCTTTGCCAGAATGGGTTGCTAATCTTACCTCACTTAGATCTTTGGCGTTGTCAGATTGCCATAATTTACCTTCTCTTCCAGGAGGTTTCCCGTGCTTGCGTTTCCTCCAACATCTGTCGATCCAGGAATGTCCTAATCTGGAGGAACGGTGCAAGAAGGATACTGGTGAAGACTGGCCAAAAATGAAGCACATTGCACATGTTTATATTGGATCACAGCACTTTAGGGCATCCTCTCTCTGAAACTCAATATTTCCTCTGCTGTTCTCTTGGGTATGTTTATTCCATCCACACCACTATATCTTCTTATTGGTTCATTAACACTAGTGGTTGACTTCATTGTGCTCTTTCTCTAACGTCTAACAATAGGCTGCAACAAGTTTATTAGTCCTCTGAATACCTTATTCGGATCTAAGATGTTCTCTCTTTTTTATAATTATTATTATCATCGTTAATTTAAGATATCATATCTTGTTTATTTATTTATTTTTATCAGTTTGACTTGTGTTTTTGGGAGTTTTTTATGAGCTGTGCCCACCTCTATCGATCAAACTGCAACTAGTAAGTGATATTGCTCAACTGAGTATTTGGAGGGAGAAAAGTAAAAACTTTGACTTTGATGAGTTTTATGCATATCAGATTGACTAAAGATTATTGCAGCTAGCCTGCCAAAAAGTAAAATAAAGCTAACAACATTCTTCCAAATTTACAGATTAAGGTAGCTTTTTGATTTCTAACACACTTATTTTCATGCTCACAGTGTCAGGTGAGCTGCTAGCGAACAACTTCGAATTCCTTGAGAAGATGATAAAGCTCTCATGAAGCATCAGCAATTAGTAGTTTGCATATTGCTGTTATTACTCGCCCCAGTTCTTCCTAGCACACTATTTTTTCAAGACATGACGTGTAATCAAATAACTTATCCCCCCCTTTTTTTTTCTTAACTTCATATTCGGCTTGAGTCTTATTTCCAACTTCTTTCTATTACAAAATTATGCTCCAAAATTGAAGAAAGTAAAAATGATCTAGCTGATCAGTCGTGAGGTTTTGTTTACCTCTTGATATGAAAGCAGAAAACTCAAGATGCTTGCAGCACAGACCCTGTTCAGATCCAGACAACAAAAACGTCAATCTTGAGACTAATATCAACGAACAGTTCACTATACATTCCAAGGTCGAGTGTCTCCTAGAAAAGGTTTTATAGCTCAAGCTAAGCACGCTAAAGTAAACAGGTACAAAGACACAGGACATGGGAAACAATGTAAATGGCTAAAAAAATGCATAGCTCTAGTGAATTTATGTGAAAGAAAATATTATAACAGAAAATTGAATTTGAATTTTTATGAAAGAAAACACTGTAATAAAAAAAAATTGAGTTATGATTCGAATTGTGAAACGAACGAGACTGGTGCCTCCACACCTAAATTTTGTCCAGCTGCAGAATAACACTCTTCAGAAACATAAACTCAGCAATCATGTTTTGGGTAAATGCATTAATGGTGAGCACAGTGGAGAGACAAACGCAGGGCACACACAAATCTTTAAAAGAAAGGAAGCAGCACATGGTAGAATTTTCCCACAAAACAGACAACTAAGATCAATGTCACATGATGTACCATGTATGTGGATCTCAGGAACAAGAAGACGGCAGAAATTTGGAAGATAACCTTTCTGATCTCATACAAAGTAATGATATCTGTGTAGATAAATTGTACATTTGAATAGTGAGGAGACATCCTGTAAAATGCACAACTTGTGCTTCAACATTTATTTTTATCCGACCAGAGGTCAATAACTCCAAATCTTTAGGTTTAGTTTTACAAAAGCCTCAAATGTAACATAAGATAACTAAGATTCTGCGGATGACGCTACGTCGTCTTTGTGCTTGATCATACCCGAATCGACAAGAATGGGAATTTCAGCTGCAAGCCATGGTGCTAGCCCCAAGCAGAGTGCATGTGCTATGCCAAATCTAGGACTGCATTGGAAAAATGAACAATTAGCCTAAACTGAATAAAAGGAGGAGAGAAACAGATGTTAAAATTATGATTATAGTCAACTGGCAAACATTTGCAAAATAAACATACAATTGATCGAAAAATAGACCATAATCTTGTTTCAATTTGCATCAGTGGGTAGGTTCCTTTTCAACTAACAGTTCAAAGATTAACTTAGCTGGAAAATTAAACATGATAATAACAATAATAGTATACCATTTCAATCCATAATATATGCTTGTAATAAAAAAATTCTTTCTTTGCAAATAGAATGCTTGTGAAAAGAATTTTGATTATAGTAACAACAACAATAATAACAAATCTTAATCCCAACTTAATTGATGTCGGCTATATGGATTTCACTTTTTCACACGACTCTGTTCGAAATTATACTTTCCTGAAGGCCTAGATCTAGAATATCTTTCCTAACGACTTCAGTCCACGTAATTCTTGGTCTACCCCTCTCTCTCCTAGTATTAGGTATAAGAATGTCCTCTCAAGCACGAACTGGTGCTTCTAGCGGTCTACGTTGGACATGCCCGAACCACCTCAAGTGGCCTTCGCACACCTTATCTTCTATTGGTGCTACACCTACTTTACTATGAATGACTTCATTCCTTATGCGGCCCATTCTCGTACGGCCACTCATCCATCTTAACATACGCATTTCTGCCACACTCATCTTAGATATATGTTGTCTTTTAATGGCCTAACATTCACTACCATATAACATAGCTAGGTGGATTACAGTCCTATAGAACTTTCCTTTCAACTTAATAGCCATCTTGCCGTCACATAAAACTCCCGTAGCATTCTTCCACTTAACCCACCTTGCCTTAATCTTATGTTGAATATCCTCTTCTATATCTCCTTTGTGCTGCACTATAGACCCAAGGTACCTAAACTTCCTAGAAACCCCAATCTCCACACCATCTAAAGAAATTTCATCACTCTGATTACTTGAGTTACTAAACCTACAATGCATCTATTCAGTTTTCGTCCTACTTACCTTAAATCCCTTCATCTCGAGAGTCTGTCTCCACAGTTCTAACTTACGGTTAACTCCTTCCCTATGTTCACAACTAAAACCATATCATCCGCAAAAAACATACACCAAGGAACTCTATCTTGGATTTCTCAGAGCAGATCCTTGATGAAGGCCGATCCGAATGGGGAACTCTGTCGTGTAGCCTCTAGCAATTCTCACACTCGTGACCACCCCATCGTACATGTCCTTAATTACCTTAATATACTGGTAAGTCTCTAGCAACTATTTCACAAGAATTGAATCAAGAAGAAGAAAGAATGAATCTTTATTGAATTAACCACAAAAATTACAAATCTGGTTCTTGAACAAGAGACTCTCTTCCTGCTTAGCGGAATGCCAAGACTTTCCCAAACAAACTCAATTATTGCCTCCTCTATCATTCCTCGAGTCCCACTATTTATTCCTGCCCCCAAACAACTCTAATCACAATCCCTTGTGCTCACACCCACAGTAACCACGTAAGTACATACTAATACACACATTAACCACGTAAGCACATACTCACCCACACAACAGCCACATAAGCCTATACACTTATGAACCTATACACTAACAATCTTCTAATCACTTCCCCGACCCTTCCTCACATAGACTTGTCTAAGTAGAGGCTTATCAATTACTCCGCCCCCAAAAAGAGTCACCTTGTCCTCAAGATGAAATTCAGGAAATTGTTGCTGAATGACGTCGAAAAGCTCCCAAGGCGACTCATAGTCCGGTAAATGACGCCATTGAAGCAAGACTTCCAGCTGCCCTGTAACCTTAGAGAAACGAGTAGCTAGCAACCTCTCCAGCTCCACACGTAACTCCATGTCAGCTGCCAGAGCTGGCGGAACTTCCTGAGCCAGAATAGGCTGGCCAATGGCGAGCTTAAGCTGCGACACATGGAATACCGGATGAATCTTAGCCTCCGTAGGCAATTGCAACCTGTACGCCACTGCCCCCACCCGTGCCACGACCTTATAGGGACCATAAAACCGGGGAGAAAGCTTCTCATTCAGAAACTTAGCCAAGGAACGATGGCGATATGGTCGAAGTTTTAAGAACACCAAATCCCCCACATCGAACGAGACATCACGACGCTTAAGATCCGCGTTCCTCTTCATTGAATGCTGCGCCTGAAGCAAGTGTCCCTGTAGCTCCTCTAAAATAGCATCCCGAGTTTGTAACTGCTCCTCCAACAAAGAGTTCGCGGTGGAACCCAACTCAAAACGCAGCAATTTTGGAGGGTCACGGCCATACAATGCCCTGAAAGGAGTCATTCCCGCGGACACATGGAAGCTTGTGTTATACCAAAATTCAGCCCACGCTAGATGAGAAAACCACTGAGCAAGTTTCCCAGAAACAAAGCAGCGTAAATAGGCTTCTAAGCACCGATTCACCACTTCCATTTGTGGATGGTAAGCGGTACTATGATGTAAAGCAGTGCCCTGCAACCGAAAGAGCTCCTTCCAAAATTGGCTTAGGAAAACCTAGTCGCAATCGGACACAATAGTCCGTGGAAATCCATGAAGTCGCACCACCTCTTTAATAAACAGGCCAGCCACTGATTTTGCAGAAAAAGGATGGCAAAGACCCAAAAAATGTGCATACTTACTCAACCGGTCAACAACCACCAAGATCGAATCATTTCCCCCCGACTTAGGCAACCCTTCCACAAAATCCATCGAAATCTCATCCCAAACCAAGTTTGGCAATGGTAATGGTTGTAATAGTCCCCCAGGCGCCAAGGTAGAAGCCTTGTTTTGTTGACATACTTGACAGGCTGCCACAAACGAGACGACGTCCTTTTTCATGCCATACCAAAAGAACTTGGATGACAAATCGTTTGAATGTCTTTAAGACTCCCGAATGTCCACCGACCTTGCCACCATGGAATTCATTCAGAAGGACCAGTATAAGAGGAGATAGCCTAGTCAAAACCACCCGACCCTTGCACAACAACATGTCATTGCATAAAGAAAAACCCTTCACCCCCTTCAGATTTTCCAGCAACGCTTTCCGAATTCCCGCCAACTTCGGATCACCTAGAAGTTGCTCCCGAATATCAGCCCCATCATATAACGCTGAAGTGGTAAGGAGCATCAATTCCAACCCCGAAAACCTCCTAGACAACACATCCGCGACGCGGTTCTCCGTTCCTGGCTTGTACTGGATTTCAAAATCATAGCCCAACAATTTACACAGCCATTTCTGGTGCTCTTCCCCAACTAAACGTTGTTCCAACAAGAATTTTAAACTCCTCTGATCCGTGCGGACAATGAAATGTCGCCCAAGAAGATAATGTCTCCATTTCTGGATAGCCAATACCACAGCCATCAACTTGCGCTCATAAACCGATTTGGCCCTAGCGCAAGAGGACAAAACTTAACTAAAGTAGGCTATAGGCCGTTGTTGTTGCATTAAAACCGCGCCGATCCCAAAGCCTGAAGCATCGGATTCTACCACAAATGGTTTTGAAAAATCCGGTAATACTAGGACCGGAACTGTGGTCATGGCCTGTTTCAAACCGTGGAAAGCAGCCTCATCCTCTTCAGACCAATTAAAACTATCCTTCTTCAATTGCTGTGTCAATGGCCAGGAAAGATGGCCATACCCCGTCACAAAACGCCGGTAATAACCGGTCAAACCCAAAAATCCACGCAACTCCTTAATGGAGCTGGGTGTGGGCCAATCCAACATGGCTTGAATCTTGTTGGAGGCGGCCGAAACACCATCACAAGACACAATATGACCCAAATACTCCACTCGACTTTGGCCAAAAGTGCACTTTTTTTGGTTGACATATAATTGGTTATCGTCCAAGGCCTTCAAAACCACTCCAAATGACCCACATGTTCCTCCAAGGTCTTACTATAGATCAAAATATCATCAAAAAAGACTAAAACAAACTTTCGCAAAAAAGGTTTTAGTACCTCATTCATCAAAGATTTGGAAGGTGGCTAGAGCATTAGTTAGCCCAAAGGGCATAACCAAAAATTCATAATGGCCCTCATGGGTGCGGAAGGCCGTCTTAGGAATGTCTTCCACCCGCATCCGAATTTGATGATACCCCGATTTCAAGTCTAGTTTGGTAAAGATAGTGGCACCAAACAATTCATCCAATAACTCTTCAATCACCGGTATAGGAAACTTATCCGGAACTGTAGCTTTGTTGAGAGCGCGATAATCAATGCAAAAGCGCCAACTATCATCCTTTTTTTTAACTAGGAGCACCGGACTAGAAAACGGGCTGTTGCTTGGTTGTATGATTCCGGCCGCGAGCATCTCTCGAACTAACTTTTCAATCTCATTTTTCTGCAAATGAGGATACTCTTTATATATAATTTATAATGAATATTTAAATGTACAACTTTAGTACATATTTCTATTCAATTTTTAATATTTTATTATTAATTATATATTTATTAATATTTATATAATTAATTATTAATATTTATATAATTATTATATAATTAATAATTATTATTATAATGTATAATACATATTTATTTATATTTACATAATATTTACATATTTCTTTTTTATTTGATTTGCAAAATTTTACAAAACAAAGATACAAATACAATAAGTTTAACCCCTCCCGCTAATCTTTAGAATTTTTTTCGTTATTTGCATTTTAAGAACTTATAACTTATATTGAATTTTAACGTGTCTAATAACCTGAAAGAATTCGGGGAGGGGTCATTTTTGAATCTAGAACCAATAGGTTCAAGAGATAAGAGAATTAAGTTGTAGGGTCTAACACTAATAGGAACCGTGCCCGGATGAAGCTCAACGCGGTGGTCATGCCTACGTTGAGGAGGAAGTCCATCTGGCATATTCAAAACCCATGGATGACGCTGCAACAATGCACCGATCTGGGCAGGAAATGGCTGGTCTGATGCCCCTTCTACATCCAACGCCTGTAACTGCAAATATATTCCTTGTCCCTCATGTTTAATGGTCCGAAACATTGCCTTAAGGGAAACCATAGAAGTGGAAAGAGTCATATCCCCTAGTAAGGTCACCATTTCCCCCCTAATCCGGAACTTCATCAATTGAGATTTCCAATTCACATGCATACCCCCCAATGTTTCCAACCACTGCATGCCTAGGATAACATCCACCCCCCCTAATTCCAATGGCAAAAAATTCCCTATTATGGTTAATTGAGGCAAACTCAATGACACCTCTCGACAAATCCCCTGCCCTTTAACCGAATCCCCCGTGCCAACTTGCACTCCAAACCCGGCAGTGGGATAAATTGGAATGGATAAATGTTTTACTACGCTTAAGGAAATAAAGTTGTGCGTTGCTCCAGAATCGATTAAGACAATTACCTCTTGTTAAGCAATTGATCCGCGAATCTTCATAGTTTTGGGTGTTGAAAGGCCCACCACAGAGTTCAAGGAAAGTTCAATAAGCTCGGGCTGCCCCTCCTCCCAAACCACCTTAGCCACGTCAATATCTCCTCCAAGCATTCCGTGGAATCCTCATCACTAACCAACATAATCCGGAGCTCCTTCTTCTTGCAACAGTGACCAAAAAAAAATTTCTCATCACACCTATAACAAAGCCCCTTGTCTCTCTTCTCCTGCAACTCCGAATCCGACAACCTTCGAAAAGGGAATTCCCATTTTTGGCTTACTGCTCTATCCCCCATGGTTGGAGCTTGCTGAGGTCATTCAACTCCAGGGACTGTTCTAGCTGGAAAATTAGAAAATCCAGCTCGCAGTCCTCCCAAAAATTGTGGCCTTGGCACTCTTGTTCCTGCAACCTCCCGTCGTAGCAACTCATTCTTCTCCTCAATTCTCTGGACGATCTCCATAATTTCGCCTAACCCCTCCGGTTTTAAGAGCCTTAACTCCGCCCGAACCTCCGCCTTTAATCCATTAACAAAAATGTTCTCCAAAATTTCCTCTGGAACTTCTAAGAGTGGGGCGGCAAAAACTTCAAATTGTCAGTGATAATCCGCCACCGTACCTTCTTGTCGAATCGCCAAAAACTTCTCACAGAGGTTCCCAGCCTGCGATGATCAGAAACGCTGCAAAAGAGACAACTTGAACTCCGTCCAACCGTGAAACGGACGGCGGCCATTCTGCCATTGAAACCAAGACAAGGCGTCTCCTTCCAAGGCAATACCAGCGGTAATCAACCGCTCTCTCTCTGAACAGCGGTTGATGGAAAAGAATTGTTCCATTCAGAACACCCATCCATCAGGATCATCACCACTGAACACTGGGCATTCTACTTGCCGTCGACGTTATGAAGTCCAATCTTCATTCTCTGGCAGCTCACCCAAAACGCCCATGTTTTCCCCATTCTCCCTATGTCGCCCCCCTCTGTAACCGTTTCCTCCCATGCCACACCTCTGATCACAGAATCCCGGATTTTCCAGTTCACCGAAAACCCCACGCCACTCTCCACGTCGTCCCAACGTACCTTCCCTTGGTCCCCCGTTCATTCCCTCACGTCGGCCCTCTCACTCTTCTTCTCCTCCATCGCGACCGGAATTCCTTAAATTCTTGAATTCCGCCGGTCGTTCTCCACCCCGAGCACGCAACCCAATGGTTTCTGCTGGTAGTGGTGCGTTCTGCAAAACCCTAGGATCTCCCGCTCGTTCCTCGATTCGCGCGCGCGATCCAGCAACTTCAACCAATCGCGATCCTGCATGCGCCGTCAGAGCCGCACCTTGCTCCAGTTCCGCCATGGACGTCGAAGCTCTTTCTTTCTCAGACGTTTTCGCCGGCGCCATGAACATTTTCATCTGCTCCTCGATTAACCAGTGGAGATCAGTGAGATTTTGAGTAAGTTCGGTTCTAACCTTACCGATCCCCTTCTCCATCTCTCCAATTCCCTTCTCCATCGTAACCCTAACCTCCTTTATCTCTTTCTCCACAATTTCGAACCTTTCTTCTGCCTTGCTTACCGCCATAAATCTCCCAGGATGATGCTCTGATACCAAATTGGTAAGTCTCTAGCAACTATTTCACAAGAATTGAATCAAGAAGAAGAAAGAATGAATCTTTATTGAATTAACCACAAGAATTACATATCTGGTTCTTGAACCAGAGACTCTCTTCCTGCTTAGCGGAATGCCAAGACTTTCCCAAACAAACTCAATGATTGCCTCCTCTATCATTCCTCGAGTCCCACTATTTATTCCTGCCCCCAAACAACTCTAATCACAATCCCCTGTGCTCACACCCACAGTAACCACGTAAGTACATACTAATACACACATTAACCACGTAAGCACATACTAACCCACACAACAGCCACATAAGCCTATACACTTATGAACCTATACACTAACAATCTTCTAATCACTTCCCCGACCCTTCCTCACATAGACTTGTCTAAGTAGAGGCTTATCATATACCTCACATGCACTCCTCTCTTTTCTAGCACCCACCATAAAACTTCCCTTAGCAGCCTATCATATGCCTTTTCTAAATCTATAAAGACCATATGTAGGTCCGTCTTGACTTCTCTGTACCTTTCTATCAGCATCCTAAGAAGAAAAATGGCTTCCGTGGTTGATCTACCTAGCATGAAGCCACATTGGTTACATGAGATGGTAGTTGTGGCCCTTAATCTCCTTTCGATAACTCTCTCCCAAAGTTTCATAATGTGGCTTATTAACTTTATACCCCTATAATTGTTACAATTCATCACATCTCCTTTATTCTTAAAGATGGGGACAAGAATACTTTTCCTCCATGCATCAGGCATAAGCTTCTTCTTTAGTATCTCATTAAAAAGCTTAGTGAGCCACACAATTCTAACATCTCCTAACGCCATCCAAACCTCTAATGGAATATCATCTGGCCCACATGCCTTCCCCTTTTCATCTTCCGTAGTGCAGTTTTAATTTCTGAGACTCTGATTCTTCTTGTATACGTCACATTAGGTTCTCCTTGTGACCTAAGATTGTCAAACTCTATCACATGATCATCATTATAAAGCTTCTTAAAATAACTCCACCTTTCCCTAATGTCTTTATCTCTTGTCAGAACTTGATCCGTATCATGCTTAACACACCTCACTTGATTTAGGTCCTGACACTTCCTTTCTCTTATCTTAGCTAGTTTATATATATCCTTCTCTCCTTCTCTTGTCTCAAGTTTCCTATATACCTCATCTAAGTAGAACGAGCCTTACCAACTGCTCGCTTAGCATCTTTGTACTTATTAAAAGTTTCAACATCCTTACGCTTTGGTAAATCTCTATATAAATCCCTCTTGGTCCTAATAGCCTTTTGAACTTCCTCACTCCACCACCAGGTTTCTTTCCCAAGGGAGCCTTTACCTCTAGATTTTCCTAGTACCTCATTTGCCACTTTTCTAATGCAGCTGGCCATGGCATCTCACATAGTATTTACATCACCTACATATGACCAAGTAGCATCATCTAACAACTTCTCTTTAAAGGCCAATTGCTTTATTCCCTTCAAATGCCACCAACGAGTTCGTGGGAGGTGGTTTATCTTAATCCTTTTATAGCAAAGCTTAATGCTCATATCTAAGATCACTAACCTATGTTGGGTGGCTAGTACTTCTCCAGGAATTACTTTACAATTTTTACATAAAGAACGATCTCTATACCTTCTGAAAAAATAATCTATCTGACTTAAGTTCCTTCCATTCTTAAAAGTTATCAAATGAGAATCTCTTTTCTTGAAAAATGTGTTTGTTATGATAAAATCATGTCCCAACGCAACTTTCAAAATAGATTTCCCTTCTTCATTTCGAGCTCCAAAACCAAAACCACCATGGATCCTTTCGAAGTTTTCCCTATCCTTACCAACATGCCCATTGAAATCTCCTCCAATGAAAATGATATCCTCATTGCATATACGACACACTAAGTCATCCATGTCTTCCCAGAACTTGACTTTAGTTTCCGCATCCAATCCTATTTGTGGAGCGTAAGCACTAATTACATAGATGGACTTATTTCCTAGTACCAATTTGAACATAATAATTCTATACCCTATTCGCTTAATCTCAACTATATCATCCTTCACAGTTTTGTCCACTAGAATACCAACTCCATTGCGATTCCCTTCCCAACCTGTATACCATATCTTGTGTCCTAAATTTCTAATCTCCTTTGCTTTCTTTCCTGTCCACTTCGTTTCCTGTAAGCATAAAATGTTAATTCTTCTTCTTACCATAACATCTACTAACTCCATAGATTTACTAGTTAAAAAACCTACATTCCAACTACCTAAACGAATTTTCCTATTATGGGCTAGCTCTGCCCTTGCACACGTCCATGAATGTGCAACGATCCTCCTTGCATATTTTTCACCATATCCGGGGCCCGACATGGCGCATGGGCTCGCTTTTCCCCCGTACCCGTCCACAAATGTACAAAGACCCCCCTTGCCTATTTGACACTATACCCGGGGCACGGCATAGCGCGTCGCACGTAGGGAATGCCCCAACAAATTCTATGTGAGTGAAATCCATGAGAATTACTTATTTTTACGCTGACCGTCAACCTACCACAACTCTTCTCCTTTACCCGGGTTTGGGACCGGCTATACAAACTCATAGGCGGAGTTTTTGATTATAGTAACAAACAAAAAAAAATTCAATTCTTTTTAAATTCTGCTATTGACAAACCAAACACACATTATGTTTACATGCAACAAGATCACACAATTGCATCACAATTCACTGCATAAATTGCACAAAACCATACCAGTTCTTGGCCCAGAGAGGCTTGAAATGCACAGTCAAGCAGATTTTACCCCCTCTATACATCTGAACCACATCCAAAACAAAATAAAAAAAAAAAACAAAAAACAAAAAAAAAAAAAAAAAAAAAAAAAAAAAGAGGAATATTTCATTCGGACCTTCTGAGTCTTTCCGTCGAGCTGAGGAAGCTCGAGCTCGGGGGCGGTGGCTGGGTAGGTGACGGGGATGTCGAACTGGAGATCGAACTCGTACTTGAGGAGGTTGTGGACGTACCAGCACTTGCCGGTCCACTGCGTGCCCTCCGGATTGATGGCGGAGATTCGGAACCAGTCGTTGTCGTTCGACTTGTTCATCTGCGTGTACGCGATCAGCGCCTTGTACTCCTCCTTCAGCCGCTGCATCCACGCCGCGCCGTCTCTCGGCCCGGCCTTCGTCGTCAGGAGAGGAATTTGGGTCAGCGTCGATTTCGTGCTTGGATCCCAACCCTCCATCTTCTTCTTCTTCTTCCCAAATCCTAACCCTAACCCTAGATTTGATTATTGGATTTTGGATCTCTGTAACTCTCGCTTCTAATCAGAGATTCAGAGCTCTGTGCCTGTGAATTGTGGTAATGATGCTCGAGTTTAATGGGGAGAATCGGTGTGAGATTCTTTGGGGTAAATTTGACAGCATTTTGGGCATTCAGTCTAAATGTAATATTTGAGAGAACTAGAGGAACGTAAGAGAAAAGAGAATACTGGAAATGGTGTGAGGCGTTGGGGTTTTTATGGTTCTCGAGTTAGAAACGACATGTCGTCTCGGTGAAAAAAAAGAGATGTCCGTCGTAACTCGTAACGTCGTTTTTGGTTCAAATAGTTTGTTGTTAGGGATGGCAATGGGTGGAGTGGGAACGAAGGATGATTTCTCATCCCCATCTCCACCTCTCTAAACTGTCTCTTTTTCCGTTTCCATTTCCGTTTAAGAAGAGGTGAGGAAAGATATAAGGATTTCCTATTGAAAAAGTCTTCTCTGCACCCGCTCTATTTCTTATCGTATACGATTATATATTTAAAAATAATAACAACTTAAAATAAAAAATATAATATAAATTTATTATAAATTAGACTAAAATGAAATGTTTTATAAAAAAAAAAAAAAACTAAATTTTTGACATATTGTAAACTAAATTCAAAAATAATAACTAATGTATAAGTGAAAAAGGTTTAAAAACATAAAAACATAAATGCAAATTATCCTTCGTTATCTATTCCTAATAGCTTCAATATTCATGGCATGGTTGCACACTATTTCTTCTCAAAAATTATAGTCCAAAAGGTTTAAAATTTTAAGAGATTTTTTATGTGTATATAAATTACGTAAAAATATTAGGGCGGAAGCAAGGTGGGGAGTATTTTTCCGTCCCCACCCTGTCACAAATTAAGGACTAGATTTTGTCTCCATTCTCATCTCCATCTTTGATAATTATTCTCCATCCCCACTCTGTTCAGGATGGGTAACCACCGCGTGGGGAATATTGCCATCTCTAGTTGTTGTTTCTTAAAAACGACATCAAATCTATTTTTCAAACTAAAAATGACAATACCGCAGTCTAGCACTTTTGTCACAAATACGGCTAATCGTTTATTGTTTATAAGTTGTTGGTCTTATAAATGCAATATATATTACTTAGATATTGTATTTTAATTGTAACTAAAAGTTTCTTGTCGTTACTATGCAAAAATGAGATTTATTAACAGGTTGTCAAATATATGAAACGTTTTTTTGCTGATACAAATTTAAATTATAATTTATTTTGTACAAAAATTATAACTCAAACATTTTATTACAGTATTTTATCTTATAAATATTTAAATTAAATTTTTTTTTCAAATATGACACGTTTTTAATGGCTTATAACTTCATTGTCATTTAACGTGAACCATTATAAGCTACTTTTAACGTAAAGTTGGGCAGTTTATTTAGTGAAACGATTATTTGTTGTGTTGTTTCGTCTCATCTAGAGTTTTCATACTATTCGAGGATCAAACTGAAACAGATCTATATTGTCTGACATACGACATGTTCACATGTTTGTTGTCGTTTGACATGATAAACGACAAATCGATCTTGGCGTAAATTTTATTGTTGTTTATTTGGTAAAATGACATGTAATCTGGCATTCAATACTTTCACCTCATAAATATTTCCTGACGTTTATGTGTTAAACTGCTATTTCCTCGCGATGAAAGTGATGAGTTCTGTTTATGTTTTGAAACTTTATTTCGAATAGAGCTAAAAGGTCAACCTATATACCAACCATTGGACTACAATCCTCTGTTCCCAAAGTTTGTCCCCTTATCTGTCTCTAACTAATAAAATTACACCACATTAATTAGAGGCTCGTTCAGTTCGCTGATTTGAGTTTTTAATTTGAGTTGAGATATGATTTTATGTGAGAGCTTTTTACTGTAGTAAAAAAGTTAGATGTGATTGTTTGTGAGAGCATTTTACTATAACAAAATTTAAATTATAAACTCGAATCAACGAAATGAACGGGGCCTAAAATTATGCACATGTCAGCAACAATACCAAATTCCAATGGAACTACGTTTCTTCTTCTTCATTTTTCCTATCTTCTTCTTTCTCATTGTGCACTCAGTCTCCAAGATGCAATATAAGATGTGTTGAAATTGATCCAATTTTTATTTTTCACGTTTTTTGAGAAAAAAAATAAGAACGTTTTAAAAAAAAACGTTTGGCGTAATAAAGACAAAAAACATAAATGATAACGATTTTTTAGTTTAGAATGAGAGATAAATGAAAAATAACTTTTAGTCGTTTTTTATTTTTTATTTCTCCTCTCTCAAGCAGAGAGAGAGAAAGAGAAACATTAATGAATGTTTTTACACTGAAAGCAATCTCTTGATAAAATTACTAAACGCATTTTCAAAAATGATTTCTGTATGAGATTAAAAATATTTTCATTTTCATTTTCATACAAAAAACAAATCATTTTATAACGAATTTCAAACGCGCCCATAATGTTTCACATATTACTAAAATTGAAACCATGCTTGTGTAAACACAATATCAAAAGGTAAAAAGAAAAAAAAAATGAAACTTCCTCAAGAACGCACTGAAGATGAATTCTTTTACAAAGGACCAAAATCATCGTAACAACTATAGAAAAGCTATTGAACTTCAATTGCTATTGATTTAAAGATTGAAGTGTTAATAAAAGTTAAAATTTTAAAATACATTATGTTAAAAAAATGAAAAACTTAAGATGCAAAAGCCAATTTATTCTATAAAAAAAATTACAACTCAAACATTTTACTACAATATTTTATCTCATAAAAATTTAAATTCAATTTTGTTCTTACACTAATTTCTCACGTAATTTGTTTTTTGAATGAGAAAAGTACAGAATTTACCCTTAAAAGTGTATGGGTCTGAATCTTTACTTCTCATTCTTAATTAATACCCTTTAGCTAATATAATTATTTGACTAAAAAGGTTATTAATCAAGATTAAGTGATAGAAATCCGGATCCATACACTTTAAATGGTGTTTGTCTCCTTTCCTCCGTATTAATTCAAAAAAACTTAAAAAAATTTGTTGAACTTATCCTTAAAATACATAAGTCTGGATTTTTATCTTTTACTCTTAATTAATACCCTTTTGTTAATTAGTTATTTGACTAAAAATGTATTAATCAATAGTAAATGATAAAAATTAAGACCCATATGCTTTTAATAGCATTTATAATGCAACGCTATAATTAATGTGTCAATTGTAAATTTAGCATTTGAGTACAAAAAACACTATCTAATGCAATGCAATTTGTTGTACCAAATTTCTCATACACTATACTTTGTGGCAAATTTCTCACCAAATATCGTATATGAGAAATTTAACATTTGATTGTTATTAGTTGAAATGTTTACTTCTTAATATAATAATTGCAAAGTTTACATTTTTTTATTATTTTAAACATGAAAGTTTATTTTTACAACTTTTAAAGCTTAATAACTCCGAGAATAAGTAGATTTAACATTTTAAAAAACATTTTGTATTAGAGTACAAATAAAAATAACATAACATAACATATTACAATTTTTTATGATAAATATACAATTAATATTAACATTTGTATTGAAAATATCTAAGGAGTATTTGTTAAAATTTCTCACTTTTCAACTCAACTTCTTTCGAAACTAAAGGACATAGAAACGACGTATAAGTGTCTATGAGCTTGTTCATTTATACTTAAACTCAAAAAAAGTTTAAACTCAAGTTATAACTTTATTTAAGTTCATGTTCTTTTATAAAATTTGAGTTTGAACTTGAGTTAACTTGAGTTTAGGGCTAGAGTGTTTTTTTTTTCAACTCAAATTCATAAACTCAAACTTAAGTTAATGAACTATATTTTTTTCTATTATTAAAAACGCCATAACTTTTTTATTTTAATTCCGATTGAGATGATTTTTTTCTATGCGTTCACAATGAAGAGACGAATAAAATCTCACTCAAAATTTTTCATCACCATTGAGTTTTTATTAAAATACTATATAAATACAAATTTAAGTTTTGACATACTCAAATACAAACTCAAATAGATTATCAATTTAAATCATAACTCAAAATATGTATATATAAATATAAATTTACATTAGAGTATCAACTCAAATCATATTTAAATTAAGGTCTGAACTCAAATTACTCTAACTTAAAAAAATGTAAATGTAAATGAACAAGGCCTATAATTTTGGTTTTTTTATTTTTTATTTTTTTCAAACAAAACATCCGGTTGAAGCTCCTCGAGTTAAAAAGGAAACCGAGGATCGGATCCTGAAAATCCCAGAGATTCCACGTGAAGTCTCCCAACCTCGTGTGGTTATATTAATCCCACCTCTATTCCCTTTCGCAACCAAAAAAAAAAAAGAATAGAAAAAAAAAAAGGTCCCGCGGTTTCGCCCTTCAATTTCCCAATCCTTCCATGCCCAAACAAAATCTCTCCAAACCCTAATTCCACAGCCATTGATTGAATTCCTTTTCTTCAATCCTCGTAAATGGCCGGAGCTCCCAGAGACCAGGCGCTATCTCTCCTCGCCGCCGCCAACAACCATGGCGATTTGGCCGTCAAGCTCTCCTCCCTTAAGCAGGCCAAGGATATCCTCTTCTCCCTCGATCCTTCTTCCGCCGTCGACCTCTTTCCGTACTTGGTCGAGCTCCAGTCCTCCCCCGAAACCCTCGTCCGAAAACTGCTCCTCGAGTGAGTTCTCTCGAACCCTAAATTCCGTCGCTTTATGTTTCGGTTTTTCCATTCTTTGCATCGTTAGGTTTATCGTTTGGTTCGAGTTGATTTGCTATAGGAAAATTGTGTAGAAATTGAATCTGCGTGATCAAGAATATTTCTCTTTTGAATTTGCATTTAAAAATGATCTTGTCTATCTGTGTGAAGAGTGAGAGTTTGAAGTTGAAATTTCCAATCTTTTGACTATGCTAAATCTTACAACTTGCTTTTCTTAAATGTTTGCGCTGGTTAAACAAATTCCTTTTAGTTTCTTTTTCTGGTGTGTTTGATTTTCACGAAGTTGTATAAGCGTTTGAACTTTTCGTGGGTATCACAAAGCTATTCTGATTTCTTTCCCTCGTTCTTGATGGCTGGCAGTTTAGTGGAAGAGATTGGATTGAAGGCGATGGAGCATTCTTCTGTACTAATGCCCGTCTTATTGACACTTCTCCGAGATGATGATTCTGCTGTGGCAAAACAATCTATTGTTAGTGGGTCAATTATCTTTTGCTGTGTTTTGGAAGAAATGACATTGCAGGTCCTTCTCTCTCTCTCTCTCATAGCTCATAGAAACAAGTGTACATAACTTCAGATTTTTAACGACCATGGTATTTGAACAAAGCTATTTTTCTAGTTTAACATAGCAAACTTTTACTTAAGATCCTATTCCTTTAATGCGGTTTTCAATTTCCTCTTACATTGGCTTCTAGAGACTTCAAACTGCCATAATTACCTCCTATTTATTTTCTCTTCCTTTCTTCCATTAGGCGGCAAATTAAACATATTTGGCAATCATCTCTACTGTCACTGATTCAGAGTTCTATTATTCTGTCTTCCCTTGAACATGTCCATATTATTCCTTATTTTCTGGATGATGACACTTTGCAAATGATGGTGGAATATTCTAAGCTTTTCCATGAACTTCTTTTTTTTTTCCCTGGTGTGATAAAAGTGTAAAATTGCCTGAAGTATTATCCGTAAGAAACTAGGTTTTCTAATTAGTCAAGTTCCTTTATCTATAACTTTGATGGAAGCTATGTGTATTCCATATTGTTTGCTCTCCGTGAATTTTCTCTTACTATCTTTGCAGAAGTTTCTTATGTAGTTTGGACTTTGATTGAATGCTTATGATCATTATTATTTTTTTGATAAGCAAACAACTTTTATTGAAATTAATCAATATGATCAACTTTTAATGAATGCTTATGATCATTAATGCTTATGATCAACTTTTTTTTTTAATGCTTAATATCTTTGTGATAAATGATAGTTTCACCGACATGGCAAAGTTGAGAGATGGCTTGAAGAACTCTGGTCGTGGATGGCTAAGTTCAAAGATGCTGTATTTGCCATAGCATTGGAGGTAGGTAGTGATGCATGCCAGTGAATTCCAAAGCTGTGTGTATTTTACTACCTTTTTTTTTTTGTTGCAGTTGTTTTATATCATTGATTTATTATTTAGCACTAAAAGAAAAATGTATCCATTCACCATTTTCTATTGGTTCTTGACAATTAGGATTTCTCAGTTGTAATGTCAAAAACAATTGTGAATTTTATAATAGTAAACTCTTTCACTTTCATAGTTATACGGTCTCGCGTCTTGTTAGTGAGGACTGTTTGTCCTTATTACTGTTTGAGTTACTGAACTCTGATTCCTTTTTATTTTCTTTTTCTTTCCTGAAATTAAAAAGAGACAAGCAGATGTCTATTGGCAATAATATGTTTATAGGTGAATTATCTCTAACAATATAAGTTCCATTCTTCCAGATATGACTACTGTTTGGATATTTCCAAGATGTGCCTGATATATCTCGAGCATATCCATATTCAATTGTATTTTACTATCATTTTCATTTTGCTGTTGCCCTGTCTCTGGAACTGCTGTTGTACATTTTTCCCTTAGAGCTGTTTTAATTTGATTTTGTAGCCTGGTTCTGCCGCAACGAAGTTGTTAGCATTGAAATTTTTGGAAACATATGTTCTGCTATTTACATCCGACAAAAGTGAAACCGAAGCCCCTGTTGCAGAAGGTAGTGTAGACCTGCTCTGAAGGCCAAGCAGTTTTGCTCAGAAGATGTGTTGTGATCTAGGCTTTAGACAGTCGAATTACCTTTCTTTAAAGTTATTTTTTCCTCTAATTTCTTGCCAAATTTGAGTTTTCATCTTTTCCTGGAGGTGATCATTTGGATGTTAATATGGGTTTTGTTGGATAACAGGAAGCAGACGGGCTTTCAATATCTCATGGCTGGTTGGTGGTCATCCGGTTCTTGATCCATACTCCCTCATGTCAGAAGCAAATAGGACTCTCCGGATTCTTTTAAATTTATTGCAGTCAGCTAGTAGTTTACCTAGTTCCTTGACAATTACCGTTGTTAATTGGTGAGTGACTGGTTGGTGATTCATGTTCTTTTTTTTAACTCAAGTTTTGCAATTTTTATAAAATCTCACTTTCTTATCAAGTTCTTTCAAAATATGAAATTTGTAAACAAAGATATTGACAGTAAATTAGTAGTTAGTCTCAACATGTGGCATTTTAATATTAAGGAATGTTAAGTGTACGTTCTGGATAAGCTACATGCATATTTTATGTTCGACTATCTTTCATTGGGAGCATTTCCTCACCATCAAAGAAACGGCTTTTTTTTTTTGGTCAGTGCTTTGTACTCCATCGTTTAACCTTAGCTTAAAAAGATAGAAATTTTAGTCCTCACATTTGTGTCCGTGTATGTTGTATCTGGCACCTCATTGGCTGGCATAATAACACGATAGTTGTGAAATTTTATTCAAAGTTTACGCTGGCTGTAACGTTGCATCTTTGCTTATTGCCTAGAAGTTAGAACCTTCATATTCTCCCTTAAGTTGAGGTGCAATGAATTTGATTTAAGAGGAGAGCTTTTTGTTTTTTTAAAAAACACTTAAAAACAGAAACGTGAATCTGCAGTTTTCTTTTTAACAAATTAAAGCTAAAAAAGTTGGAGGATAGAATAAATTTACAGTCTTTTTTTCTGTATTTCTGGTAAACAAAATTTTGTAAAAGCCTTTTCTTTTTTTTTTTTTTTTGTATTTTGTTCTTTATTTCGTTTTTTATCGGGGATTTTAAGATGTGGAGAAGAAGATATGTTTTTTTTATTTTTTTTTTAATTTTTTTTTTATTTCTGACCTGGACGAGATGGTGATAATAGTTGTAAGTGCATTACATTATGTACTTACGTGTATACACGATTAAAATACATGGATACATTGGCCAATGGAGTAACATGTTCTAATTTTGTTTTAATATCCTCCGTACAGGAAGGTGACTGCACTTGCATTTCTAGTAATTTATGGCAACATAGATACTTTTCTCCGTCTTGTCCTTTTTCTTCTTTTCCTGATTCTTGTGTTGCTATCACGTCTCCTTACCGTTACTGATGTCATCAAATATCTTCAGATTAAGGAAGGCCATAAAACTTTTAAGATTTAAGACAGTAACTGGATGTTTTCCTCAATTAACCATCTTGAAATTTATGGAGGGGATCACAGAAGCTTGAAACAGGTTGTAGAACAAGTTCAACTGCTTGTTTGTGATATTATTGCAGCATGCTGATGAGCTCTGTATGAGGAGTTAATGGATACTGCTGCATGGTGGTTCAGATAATGCCAGTTACAGTGCTATTACAATGATAAAGTGCACATTATTTGGGTACTGGGAGCCCCTCGCCAATGTTAATGTTGCATAACTGATGGATAAATGGCCGTCTTGTGTGCCGAGGGAAATGTGATGGTCAAGCCATGCAGTTCATGCTTGTAAACCGTTAGAGAGGCCATTTACACTTAGTGTTTCAAGTCTATTCTGTATGTGCATACAGTTAACGTTGTCCAAGCTATTCAAAAATGTATTGATTATAACAGTTGACACGCGTTTGGCATATTTAATAAACAAAATTTCTTTAATTCTTTTCAACGTAGAATATATGGAGCATAATTTTTCTTTACTGCTTTTGTTGTTGTTTCCCTTTTTTGGCCCTTGCATTTTGTTTTGCTGATAAGTTATGAGTATTGATGCTTTTATATTGAACTAAATTCTGTTTATTTTTGCTCCTCCTTTATTATCTTTTAGATGATCTGCTGTGTTGTCAGTCTATGCGTCATGATGGCTCTTCACCTTTTTAGTTGTTAGCTTTGGGAATTGGTACGTTTTGTTTTTTGCCAGATGATGATACAGACCTTGTTTTCTAACTAGATTATATATCTTAGGATCATTTTTGCTTGGTGTCACACTTCCACAAAAGAAAAATAAATAAATTCTAATAGTTTGTTAGCCATTTTATTGACTGATATCTGCAGAATGAAAAGAGGTCATAGTAACAGTTAGTAGAATTCATTCAATCTACCAGATTCAGCTTTGTAAGAATTATGAATATGGCAAACTTAGGTTAAAGCAGTTCCAGTCTAATTGTGTCAGTGTTTATCTGCTCTTGCAATTTACCAGTCCCTTAAAATTTCATTGGCGGCAAGACTGGTGGTACCGAATACGAAGTTTTTGGTGAGATAGGAAATATTTACTAAGAAAATTTATCATCATAGTTTTGAGCATCACCAAAGTTTCAATATAATCTTATCTTCAATCAAATTGTTAACTGGAATTATTGAGTATTTGATTAAATTTTGTATTTTGTACGTATTTATTTTTGGTCCTCAGCAGTTTGATATATCAGATATTATAACTTGTCACTTGTTTGTGTTTATGTCATAAAAAGCTAAAGAACTTGATGCAAATTTACACAAATTAGTATTGTTAACCATCAAGAAGAGTTAAAAGGCAAGAACAAAGATGCTGTATAGCCTGCAGTCAGAAGCGTGCTTTATATTATACACTAGATTTTTGTTGCTGACACTTGACGATTTGGAGTCTTGTTATTATATGTGGTGGTTTGATGCTGCTAGACTAGCATTCTAGTTGATACAAATAAGTATATAAATCAACTTGTGCCAAGACCTTGAGCATGCCCTCCGTTTCTAGATTTCTTCATGTTCCTTTAATAGTCAATTCAATGACATACCTGATGCTGGCTGTGTTGGCATTTGCGGAGATGTGAGACCTTTTACTAAGTTATTTAGGTCTATGAGAAGATATTTAGTGGAATGGAGTGTCAAGTTATTGGAAATGTAGCTTGTCAATGGAGGCTGGTAAAACAACTTTTTGTTCTGATTTTTTTCATTGCAAGGCAGGATAAAATTCAGAAGATGTACAATGCTAGAGTTTTCTATGACCATTTCGATATTGCTAATGTTATATTTTTAAGACTTTTGGTTCTGGATGTCTAGTAGGCTTTGGAATGGTACTATCTTTTGGAGGAATAGAAGTTTTGAATTTCTCTTGCCAGATTAAACTCTTTGATGGATCATGAAATAGGCTGCATGATAAGCCTCAAGTGCTTTATAAGTAATATGTACTGATAATATTTGTCTTTTTAGTTTGATGCTCCTTATAGCTATATCTCGGTACTGTTGAATATTAGTTGATTGAGAAAGTGGGGAGGCCTGAATTTTTGTACTTGCTAGAGGATTATAAGATTACAGGTGATGGATCATTCTGAATGTATCGGAAAAGTTTGTAGAAAATCTGCTCTTGGACTAAAATCTTGTGTAGGATGAGTGAAATAAACACTGCTGGTGTTCTGACAGGGATGAGATCCAGAAAATTAAGCAGTGAACTTCTAAGTGCTGTACTGTTGGTTCTGTTGTGTAAAGTTAAGTATGAATACGAGCCAGCTTTGTTTGTCAGGGTGAATTCATATTCAACTTGCAAGGAGTGAGACCTTGAATTTGTATTGTCGTGTGGTGCATGTTTTCTTAAATCAGGTTTTAGATTGGATCAGAATCATGCCTTACCAGTAATATGAGTTTCCTAGTTTTGTTGTTATAGTAGTTAAATCAGTTGGTTGAAGATCGTTTATTTGTTGATTAACTATCATTATCTTCGGACTTGACATGTTGTTGCTGGATATGATGCAAGAAAGACATGCTCGAATATTGTGTTTTTTAATTTAGAACTAGAGAAGTATTGCTTGATCACCATCAGTTAAGGGTGCATTTTTGCAGCTAAAGAGTAAGCATTTAAAGATTTGAATGATATACCGGTCTGCAGTGATGAAAAAGTTTGGAAATTGGATGGGAGTGACTGGTCAACTGTTTTAATACAAGGCCAAGGGTCTATGAGTTAAATCTTGTTCTGTTTTACATGGAACTGAAAGTAGTTGCATCCCTAGTTTATTCTTCATTTATAGATAATGTTCAGGATTTCTTAATGATGATCATTACTGGCAACAGATATTGAGTTTTCTTGTTTATCATGATTTTTAATACGGTGCATTAACTTTTTATGTCTTTGTATGCAACAAACCTGTTGTCATCTAGAGAATTAGTCTAGAGTCACTTATCTAAGTTTATGATATAGGCTTTCAATGTTTCATGTGTTACTTTACTACATAACGGGGCTTGATATTGTGGTTTTTTTTTTTTGGGTAGTCAATTGTGTGATTTATAACAACTATGTTTCTTAGAGATTTTGATGGTCTTTGATTTCTTCTGATTGTGTTATTAACCATATTTTGATTCCCATTCAATTTGAGTCCTGCTGTGGCGTTTTTTTATACTGTACTTCCTTGCAAATGTCTATACTGTACATTGACATTGCTCTTATTGTATATAGAAAGTGAAATGTTGGGTGAGTTAAATAAAGCGCCTAAATACGTTTGTCAGAGGCCTTCTTAACAAGTTAAGGTGTCAAATGAAAGATCATGTTCCCTTTGTTATTGTTGCCCGATAGTTCCTTTCTAGACCTCGCTCGAGTGAACTGATCATCCTTTCAGTTCCTTTAAGTTTTTGAGAGATTATATCAGACTATCTCCTGTTCCATTATATTGAGCTAGCTCGTAGTATGGAATCAAAATCATGAATGGGTTTTAATAATAAATTTTCCTTTTTAACTTTTATTATAGTTTGATCTTGAGGAACAAAAGCCTTGTTTGTGGTAGACTTTTTGTACTGTGCTAAAGTTAGACCTTTCTCTTCACAAGTATGGTTTGATGGCCGATGGTTAAGATGCTTTTTGTGCAAGTTAGCAATCCAACTAATTTCTGCCAGACATTCAAATGGGTACTTGAATTGGGAAAAAGAAATCTGGGAGATGCATGATGGGATTTTCTAATTGCAATGTTGCCTATATTCTCCTAATTCCTTGTGCTTTGAGTTTACTTCTTTAGGGACTGGTTTTCTTCTTCCTACAGATGTTGTTTTGGAAAACTATCGAATGTAGTCTGACACTTTCTTGAAGAAAAACTAGTCTCTAAAAATTGGTTGTTGTTTTTACTTGCAAGTTAATAGTTTGTAGAGTACTGGTCCCTTGAAGCTGATAACTTTTGTGATTAATAAGGATACATTCACTGAATGCTTGGTGAAACCATGTTATGGATGTTTTAGAGCTATTTCTATTTTCTAGAGCTCTGAGATTCTTCTTTTCTTTGACTGGGAAATTGAGATTCATTATATAGATACATGTTCGGTGTTTTGAAACTTTTACAATTTCCCTGTGGACTAGGTACTTTTGGTAATCATAAGTATTGTTTCTCATATGAACTTTAACCACGGGTTGTTTTGTGGCTTGTGTTGATCTGTTGTATGAACTTGTTTGTGTGTTTTGATGTTCGATTTGTCCTTCCATCAGTAGAAAGATGTGTACTTAAGTTGATTATGATTTTAAGACTGGGCAATGCGACTATTTGTTCTGCTTCTTGTTCTCTTGTACCTTCCCTTAGATTCTTATCATTGTTTTGTTCTGCTTGGCATGTTGATTTTGCTTATTTAAAACTTCTGATCCAACTATCATTACTAAGTTACTGTCAACACTTCTCATCTCATACTGTATTTATATGTTGACAGCCTTGCATCCATAGGAAGAAAGCGACCTCTTCACTATGGTACCATTCTTTCTGCGCTGCTTGATTTTGATCCAAACTTTGAGATGGTGAAAGGATGCCATGCGTCTAGCATCCTCTATTCTGTTAGAAGTGCCTTGTTGGGGTTTCTTAGGTGTACTAACCCAACTATTATGGAGGTAAAGATTGTTTTCTGTATTTATTTATATTAGTTTTGCCACTACTGTGGACATTTTGTCAGTTTTAACAATTACTCTCAGTCGTACTAAGCAGTGCTGCGAAAATAACTACATTTTGTAATTATAATATCACATGTAATTCACTCAACCTGTTCTTTTGTTTTGATTTTCTCATCCCTTTTTCATATGGATTTTGGTTTTGAATTTCTGAATGGCTTTTGAACTACTGACTAGGAGTATACTTTCCGTAAAGAAATACAACTTAAAAAGTTGTAGGTTTACCTTCAAACATAAAAATGTCTGTTTTCTACATTTGTATTTTGGTACCTTTATTCTAGATCGTACAACAAAACATATTCTTGGAGAACTTTAAATCGTCCCTTCCTTCCCCTGCAGCACTTTGAAACTCCTTTCTGTATGCCGAGGAAAACAGGCAAGAAAGGATTATATAGGTGTCTTCGTTTGAGTATTGCATGCTAGTCAAAGTCAGAACTCTTGGTCTGTTAGCCTTTTGAAATCTAGTGTGAACTGTGAAGCTGATCCTACGGCTGACAAGTTGGCCTTTTTTTTTTTTTTTTTTTGGTTTCAGTCGAGAGATAGGTTGGTTAGGGCTCTACGAACTATGAATGCTGGGGATGCTGCTGATCAAGTTATCCGACAAGTTGACAAAGCGATTAAAAATGCTGAGCGGGCTTTACGCGATGGTCGGTTGGGGAAGGTAATTATGAGCAACTGTCTCCTAAGACATCTATATTCTGTTCTATTTTATTTTTTCCTTCCCATTTATTTTTTCCTTTACTAACGTCTTGACATTTCTCTTTATTGTTATTCTTTTCAATTTCATTGTCTTGCAATCATAGGATGATCAATTGTCAAGCCAGGTACCTGTTACAGGGGATCCGTTGAAGAAAAGATCTGTGCCTCTGGATAATGAAGACTCAATTAATAAGCATGAGATGGCTTCTAAGAGACTTCGTTATGGTTCAGAGACCAATTCAACTTTGCCAGTTCAAATTAATGATAACGGGCGGGATGGAAGCTCTGCTAATGGTCTGTCCCCTGATCTTCCCTTGTTGGATGGTGAATTGAATCCTGTGGAAAAGATGATTGCCGTGATTGGTGCTTTGGTTGCTGAAGGAGAAAGAGGAGCTGAATCACTCGAAATCCTTATTTCAAAAATTCATCCTGATTTGTTGGCTGACATTGTCATAACTAATATGAAGCACTTGCCCAAGACACCCCCTCCCTTAACGAGATTTGGGAATGTTCCAGTACCTCGGCAGATAAGTTCTTTAAACGGTTCGTTCAGCACATGCCACTTCGGCATCTCCTCCAACAAATTCTGTGCAATCTCCAACTTTCCCTTCACAGATGCCTTTATCTTCAGCTTCTGTAACTAGTTCATTGGTTTCTGACTTGCCTACTGCAAATAATCTTCCTACTGATTCAAAACGAGATCCACGTAGGGTAGGGGCTTCATTCGTGCTCAGTTTCTTATCAACTGTTTTTATTTTCCCTTAACCTTTTCATTTGTTGTTGTTACATATATTGAATATTTAGATACTTTGATATAACTTCATGCTAGCTTTTTCAGGATCCCCGCCGCTTGGATCCACGGCGCGTAGCTGTGCCTGCTGGACTTGCATCAACACCTACATTGGAGGATTCAGATGCCATGCATTCTGAATTCAATGGTTCTATTTCTTTGAGTAAGCCAAGTTCACTTCTTGTTGGGACAACAGTTGAAAATAAATCAGCACCTCTCATCTCTAGGGAGGAGGAGATGGAAAGTCTATCGGTTTCTGGAATTGGTCAAATGACCCCTACGGAGGAGGTTCTTGAGGAACCCGAGGAAATTGCCCCTGCAAAACAGGCAAAAACGTCAGATCCCACAGATTCTCCTGCTCACACAAATGATGACTCAGTTACAACAGAGTTTCCAGATATTCCAGTGAAAGATGAGGCAGATAGATCGTCTTTTCCAGAATTTTATGAGCATTCTCCAGTTCTTCCAAACGCATCTGCATCTGAAGACACCTGTCATGATTTACCTCCACTTCCAGTATATGTTGATCTAACCCAAGATCAGCAACAAAGTTTGAGAAGATTGGCAATTAAACGAATTATTGACTCATACAAGCATCTATACGCTGCAGATTGTAGTCAGTTGCGCCTGGCATTGCTTGCTGGATTGGTTGCTCAGGTAATATTTAGTTGTTGCAAGTTTGTGAATCAAATTAAGGCCAGAATATAAGCGAGGAGGACCAAATAAGCGAGGAGGACCAAGTTTCAACTCATTGTTCCTGTCTTGATGCGAGATTATGTGTAGCCAAGGGAATATGATAAAATTTCTGGCTTCATATCTTTTAACTTAGTATACACAGTATACACACGTGCATACGAAATTATCTCCACTAAATGTGGCACCACACAAAGCATTTTTTCTCTGTGGTTCTGCGTTTATGGAACAAGTGTTGTCAGACCTCTGTTCTTATGTCATGTTATTGATGTACCTCTGTCGCACAGATTGATGCAGATGATGAAGTTGTTGTGATGTTGCAAAAACATGTTGTTGTCGACTACCAAGAGCAGAAGGTATGTGTTTTTTTTGGTTATTTGTTTCTCGTTTAGCTTTTTTCCTTTTCCGTTTTGTAAACTAATGTATAAGATTTAGTTGCAGGGTCATGAGCTTGTATTACATGTCTTGTACCATCTCTATTCCCTCACTGTGCCCGATTCAGTTGAAAACACTTCATTCCCTGCTGTTGCGTATGAAAAATTCCTCTTGGCAGTGGTGGGTACTTTTTATTTTCTTTCAATTTTATAGCCAACTCTTTATGCCAATATTCTTCTTATATTAATGTGGAAGACTTATCTAACTTTTCTTCTTACTGTGTAGGCCACAGCTTTACTGGGCTCATTTCCAGCTTCAGACAAATCTTTTAGCAAACTTCTTGGCGAAGTTCCAATTTTGCCTGATTCTGCCCTGAAACTACTTGGTAACCTCTGCTACGCTGATGTTATCGATCAACATGGAAAAGATATCCGTGATGTTGAACGTATTACTCAGGGCCTCGGTGCCGTCTGGAGTTTGATTTTGGGTCGTCCAAGATATAGGCAAGCCTGCTTAGATATAGCTTTAAAGGTAACATAGACGGTACATTTTATAGGTTGTAGGCTAGAATTTTTGTTACCTATTATTTGTATTGGTCTTTGCTTGAAGTTTGTCTGGATCTATATATCTCTCTCTCTCTCTCTCTCTCTCTCTCTCTCTCTCTCTCTCTCTCTCTTGTCAATTCTTTTCTCTGAGCTACGGCTAATCTTTAAAGATAAAATGAATTCTCAAACAGTGAATCATTAAGAGCTTGACTTTGACTTTGAAGTTTTTGTTCTTTCGCTCTGAACTTTTTTGTTTCCTGATTGTAGTGTGCTGTTCATTTACAAGACGAGATTCGTGCAAAAGCTATCCGGCTGGTACAGAAACTAATCCTAAAGTCTTGCTAACCTGCTTTTAAGCAGTTGGCTTGGTTCTCTTTTTTGAATAAAAGTTGACTTCTATCTTTCCTATATGAGAACTGTCCTTATGTTTCTCTCTCTCTCTCTCTCTCTCTCTCTCTTTGTATAGGTTGCAAACAAACTCTATCAGTTGAGTTACATATCAGAAAATATTGAGCAATTTGCAACACAGATGTTGCTATCAGCTGTGGATAACCACACTTCAGACTTGGAGCATGTGCAATCTGTGTCCACTGAACAAATAGCTGAAGGGGTGGTAGGTTTCGTCTTATGGTTATAATCTTGTACTTTATATCTAGCCATGGACCTAAATAAGACAATTGCTGCCATTTTTTGAGTCGTTAAAGGATGGTGCCAGCAAAATAGCAGGAAGACAACTCATGAGTGTTGCAAGCTTGGTCATTTTAGATGTCTGGTGCTCTTGTCGTTCATGACTGAACGTCTGATAGCTATTGTGCTATTGTTTCTTAGTTGCCGTTTTGACTCATTCGTGTTCCATTGCTTCGTGTTTGGATAGATTGCTGTGAAGTCTCTTATTCATCTCTCTTAGGGCGATAGGATCAGGGAATTTAAACTACTGTGGAGGGAAATCTCCCTTATAATACTCACATCGGGTGTGGGGATGTAGGAACATGAATGTGGGTTCAGTACTATTTGTTTGTATACACGTATTCTATTCTATGTTAACGGTGGGAAAAATGTCTCTTTTTCTCTGCTCTTCTTTTTTATCCTTAAAAACTTTCTTTTATGGATTTTCAGGTTGGAAGCCAGGAAACATCTGTTAGTGATTCTCAAATTTCAGATTCTGGAAATTCTGAAACTGATTCCACAAGGAACCGCCCAGTAGCACAGAGCACATCAACTGTTTCTCTTCTAGAAGCTCAGCGACTTATTTCTTTGTTTTTTGCTTTATGTACCAAGGTTTGTCTGTGTTTTGCTCTTTGGCCATGAGGTACTGTTTCTCTGCCTTTGTTTTCTGAAAACATAATGCCAGATTTTGCTTACCTGCAGAAACCAGATCTTCTTCGACTTGTTTTTAATATTTATGGGCGAGCTCCAAAAACTGTAAAGCAGGTCTATCTTTCATCTTTTTCCCCGCTCTGGCAAAGGTTTTTATTTTTTGTTTGGGTTTTAGCACAATTGCCCCCCGAACTTGTCGTGGTTTAGCAAATTACTTCCCAAACTTTCAATTTTGGCAATCAACCCCCTGAACTTATGAATTTGTTGCAAAACGTACTCGCATTTTTGCATCATGTAATGAAAAATGGGCAGTATCCAACTGTTTCCCACGTTATGTGCATGACCTTTTGAATGTTATGAAAAATTACTGTACTTCTCGAGTAGTTTTAAGATATTAGTAAAATAAATAAGCTACCAATTAAATGATATTTGACAATTGTTATCTGTAATGGTTAGTCTTTTTCAGAAACAAGTGGGAGGTCGTTTCCACTGCTTTTTGTAATTTTCATAAAATGGATTATGATACGCCACTATGGCTCAAATATTCATATAATCACATTTACACGAGTTTGATCCATGTAGAAAGATAGTTAAACCTGAATGAAATTGCTGGTGTAACAAATCTGTTTTTTCTAATTTTAACCTTGGGCATGATGCAGGCCTTTCACCGCCATATCCCTATTCTTATAAGGGCGCTTGGGTCATCTTGCACTGAATTGCTTAACATAGTATCTGATCCACCTGAAGGAAGTGAGAATCTGTTGGTTCTGGTATGTTGTTTTTCTGAAATTTGTCATCATTACTATTATTATCTGGTTTTTCTGTATATAAATAAAGTCTATGGTTGGTTTTCGTCTGCCAAGGTGCTTCAATTTTTGACTCAAGAGACAACTCCTTCTCCTGATCTACTAGCCACTGTCAAACATTTGTATGAAACTAAATTGAAGGTTTCTCATTCTGAAGCTTTTTCTCTTTCTCGTAGTGGTAAAATACATTTGCAATCTTCTTAAGTCTTAAATGGGCACTGTTTTTGCTGCAGGATGTCTCAATTCTCATTCCAATGCTACCTTCACTTTCCAAAAATGAGGTGTGTTATTTTTTTTTTTTCCTTTTTTCATAATTTATTTCTACATCACCACCCATTTCACCCCGTTGGTGTTGTTTTCTTGACATTCATTCCTTGAACACTTTGCCTCAAAAAAAAAAAAAAAAAAAAAAAAAAAAAAAAAAAAAAAAAAACCTCATGCATACTTTCATTTCAATGATAGAAGCTAGCTATGGTATTTTGGTTGTTTTTTTTTTTGGCACTTATTTTGCACAATTGTTCCCTTTTTTCCCTTTTCTTTTCTTCTTCACCGGTTGATTTTGCAAATGAAAAATTTGGCAGGTTTTACCTATATTTCCTCGACTTGTTGCTCTTCCTTTAGAGAAGTTCCAGATGGCGCTTGCCCACATATTGCAGGTACTTTATTCCTTTTTTCTGGAACATCTTGCATGTCTTTGTGATGTTCCTCTTTCTATTTCTAAGATAGTGCCATCATTTTATACCTTGAATACAATAGAATAGGGATGGCAGGGACACAGGAAAATGCCTTTTCATTTTTCTCAGCATTGGACACCTTGATAGTTAAGGTTTATTGTTACCTGGCTAACGGCCCTAAATGTCGTTCTAATATATTTTTTCAGTTTTCCTTGTTAATTAAGTTATTCCAGGGAAAATCAGACATTGACTCTTAGTTATTGAGTCAATTGAACCTTTTTTTTTTTTTTGAGTGATTTGAACTAGCTTATTATGTGCTGATTTAATAGGACTACTCAATATATCTGAAGTCTTGGTTTACATTGAGCTATTTAATTTGAAATCAATATGCCTTTATAAAGAAGAAATTCAGTGTTCATAACTATACATTTGTCATTGTGATTGAACTTGTTTTTCTCTCTTTTCACCTTCTGCTTGAGAGTTTGCTTTACTGGGTCAAACGGGGGAAAGGAATTATTTTGATCTTTTATGTCTTCAAAGCAATGCATTCATAAAGGTTTAGCCAACTTTTCCAAAAAAGGAAAAAAAAAAAAAAAACTAAATAGTGATAATAATAATAATAATAAGTAAATAAAGGTTTTTATCCCAAAAAAAATCCTATATTAGATTGCAGGGTTTAGACGATCTTTTGTTTTTATGCTTCTCCTCTTTTCCTTCCGGTAAACAATTGGCATCAGCAAATTTTCATCTAAATTCTGAGTAAACCAAACTATTAAAGTCTCATATGGTACAATTGCAGGGTTCTGCTCATACAGGTCCTGCTCTAACACCTGCTGAGGTTTTGGTTGCCATCCATGGCATTGTCCCTGAGAAAGATGGTCTTGCTCTTAAGAAGGTATGTTTTTCCTGTTTTACTGAACGAATGGTTTGTTCATTGAAGAAGATAAGATGATGTTAAGCTGATTTTTTGTTTTTTTTTTTGTTTTATTGTTTTATTGTTTTTTTTTGTTTTTTTTTGCCAAGTATGACTTTAAGCTGATTGATGAACCATGTTTTGTATTATGGTCAAATTGCGTCCTTTATGGTTGTATGCTGCATACCACGCTTTCAGTTAATGCCTTATACCATGTTTTGAAATATATGCGACTCAATTTCAGAGTTAATACCAACAACATACAGTAATGTTGGGAGTATGAACAGTTGTTGGCATTATAGTAAATGAATTTCCTGAACATGTAAGTAAAAATGGAGTTTGCCGGATTGGATAGACGGGGAAAAATCTTAGCTTCAAACACCCCACCTCCCACTTGATTTTGGTAATTTGACCGAGGTCCCCTAGTCCAGGTTATACTTGGTGATAGTCGTGGGTTGCTTTTGTTTGGTTTTATCTTGCTAATTATGCAACTGTCCATGCAGAAGATAGTTTCGGCAACATTTTGCTAACTTTAAGGCAGTAAATGAGTAAATTATTATATTGATGCTCCTTTATCTCGCTAATTTTACATCTATCTATGCCAAAGATAGTTTCTGTATGATTTTGCTAACTTTAAGGCAGTGCATTAGCGGATTATTATATTGATGCTTTTTTATCCTTTTTTCTTTCTATTTTTTTTTTTTTTCATTTGTTTAATGCATCTGTTTCCTGCTTTCAGATTATGGATGCCTGCTCTGCTTGTTTTGAACAGCGCACAGTTTTTACACAGCAGGTCTTGGCAAAGGCCTTGACTAGGATGGTATATTCTTGTGTTTCGTAGTCTCTTTATTTGTTTTCTTTGTAGATTTCATCGAACTCTGGATTCTTTCCTTTTGCTTTGATCTTGTTGGATCGGAAAACATTATGTTGATATTGTCTTTCCTCTTTCCTTTTTCTTCTTTTGGGGACTTCTTATGCTAGTTCACATTTTTTTTTTCTCAATAAAATTTATCGTTCCTTATACTCTAGTAATTTTTTCACTTTCAGGTTGACCAGACACCGCTACCTCTTCTCTTTATGAGAACAGTAATTCAGTCAATTGATGCTTTTCCTTCACTGGTAACTTCCTTCCCATTTGTTGTTGGTGTTCTTGCTGCATTTAAATCTCAATTCCCATTATTATTCTCTAGCTGATTATATGGGTCGGATTCTTGGGGAATCTTTCTTGTAAATTGTTGTGAGCCACTTATCTGTTTAAAGTGAAAATTATGGCCACATAATAATGTGAATATGTCGTCGGTAGAGCTGGTCCACGAGTTCTCTTAAGGTGCAGATGGAGACAATTTTGAACTAAATAATTGGTTATGGATCTGATTCTCTGAATTGGAATTCAATATTGATTTCTTACTATACGGATATAATATCATCAAAATTGGGAATGTGCATATTTATGCCGACTATAAATAGAGTAGCAAAAAATTTCGTACCTGCAGAAATTTCATCTGGCAATATAGCGTGAAAGAAAGGAGAATTCCTCTTTTTTCTTTTTTCCTCTTTTTTTTTTTATTTTCTTTTTAATAAAATGTTTAGTTCTCGTGGTAAAAAGAAATGTTTATTACAAGAAAAGGAGAAAATCTTCTGCTGTATTTCAGATACCGTAATAATTTGTATACTCTAGCAAGTAGCAACCCTCCATTCCTTTTTGTGGCTCTGAAGGACCAATCTTTCTTTGTCCAGGTTGATTTTGTTATGGAGATACTTTCCAAGCTTGTGAGCAAACAGGTACACATACTTGGAATTCGAATTAGGCTTTTCTAAAGCCTATAACTGCGACTGGTTTTATATTGCTTATTGGCACTTGTATGGAGACAAACTGATCTAGATCCCTCTACGGGCTGCAGGTGTGGAAAATGCCAAAACTTTGGGTTGGCTTTTTGAAATGTGTCGCTCAGACACAACCACACTCTTTCCATGTCTTATTGCAGGTACGAAATTGTCTATTATATGGTTAACTTGCCACTGTTTTTCTTGTATACAAAGTCTAATGCTTTCTTTTCTACTTGCTGCTTGTAGTTGCCACCACCACAACTTGAAAGTGCTTTAAACAAGCATGCAAACCTCAGAAGTCCGCTTGCCTCTTTTGCTAGTCAACCAAATTTAAGAAGTTCACTACCCAGGTACACTTTTGCGTTTGTGTATTTGATTTGTTATGCAGTATGCAAAACTAATTTCCTCCTTATTTACGTTAACAAAGAATTATAGCTCCTTTGACGAGGCTTTCTGATTTCCTAACAATTAATACAATAACATCTGACAGCTACATCTACTCATCAAGTTGCTGGGAGCCTGGCTCGATTGTCACTGATTTTTTTAACACAACTTAAAAGTCGTTTTCAATTTTGTCCTATTTAACTGTGCATTTTCTTGACAGATCAACACTTGCAGTTCTTGGTCTTGCAAATGAAATGCACATGCAGCAGCCACACCGTTCCTCGTCTTTTAACTCCTCGGATGCAGGCTCATCAGTTCATGGAGCAACATTAACGTGATAATTAAGAAGCTGTTGGTTGTAGAATTGACCAGCTGTATAGAGTTCGAAGTTCGAACCATGGAATTTGCTAATTAGAATTCCATGGTTGTGGGAAAGGAAGATGCGGCTTAATGGCAGATGTTGCGACTCGTTAGCAGGGTTGTCTGACGGACTGCTAATTGGTGACATCTAAGATGGAAATCTTACACAGCCTGTGACCATGTGGAGCCGCCTTTTTTGTCAGCGGATTGCCATCCAAGAGAGATCTCCCGCTTCCCTTTATTCTTGTGCGGCAGTAGCTGCTGCTCTCCGAAATGTATCATAGTTATATCCTCTTATTGTTTCTTTATTTATTCTCTCAAATTTTGATTGGTTACTTCCCGCCTAATCTTAGGGTGGTTTACATCATGGAGCTTCATTTTTGGCCCATCGCCAACGGTTCCCTTCCAATATTAGTGTTATAATTTCCTTATACATTCTCCTGAGTTATCTTTTGTCCTATTCGCCGAGTCAAAACAAACAAGAAATCTAAACCCACGCCGTATGATCTGCGGCTTCGAGAAAAATAAACACGTGATCTGTTCGTACGCAACACATGGGGAAAACATGGAAATCAAGGAAATACCACCATAGGTCTTTTTCATTAATAGACAATTACTTATATTATTCATCTTGAAATACCACAATTATTAGCAATGCGTTGGGCTCTTACAAGAGTCAAAAAGTGCATACATGTTGAAAGTATTTGAACGAATTTCTAATTTCCTGTAAAAGTAAAAAAGCAGACACGATTGATAAATCATTTCAGTAACGATATTATAGCCATCATTTACTGAAATAAGAATAATAATATTGATAAACGAACAAATGTGAGGAATTTAATAATGATTTTGTTTTAGAATAGAAAGAAAAATGAATTTTTTCGAAATTGTGTTGAAACTGTTTTGAAATTGTGTATGGTTTTTTTTTATTGTGAGATTATTTTGAGAAAAAAAAAAAGTAAAATTATATTTAATTATTTTTTTACATATAATAATAATATAAAAAAATTATTGTACTTACTCTTAAAGTATATGAGTTTGAATATTACCCATTAATTTTAATTAAAAAGGATAATAATAAGTGTAAGGGAGAAAATTCAGACTCATGCACTTTAAAGTATATTTCTCTCCTTGTCACATAAATATAATAAGACCTCGTTCTCTTCGGGAATTCGAGTTTTCAATTCGAGCTGAGATGTGACATTTTCTGATAGCTTTTAATTGTAGCAGAAAAAGTTAAATGTAACATTTTCTAAGAATTTTTAACTGTAAAAACCTAAAATTAAAAACTTGACTCAGTGAAATAAACGAGACCTCGGAGTTGAGCCCTATAAATTGGAAAGGAAAAGAGATAACAAGTTCTGTGTTTTCTGGTTCCCTAAAAATATCGAAAATGGAGTTTTTGTTTCCTCACTAAATGCTAACAGAAGCTATTTTTTCGGACTATTTCCAAAACACCTTTATTCAAAAATGTTTGGAACCATCTCAGAAACAATACCAAACAATACCTAACCGCCTACCGTGTGCTTAGGTCTGTTTGTTTGCACAGATAATGTCAAAAGCAAAATTGTCTAGAAAATTTGAACTATTTAGGGGCAACTTGCCCTTCATTTCATACAAGGTCTACGTCAACACAGTGTATAAATCCACAACAAACGTACCCTCAGCATTTCCAAGGGTGTATGGATGCTCATGCTAACTGTTTTGTCGATCAAGCAAGTGAAGGCCACAAAAACAAAGCATCGAAACTCTACAATAAAAACGAAATCTTGTTTTCGTAAAAGAATTATCGGGGCAGGGGGAAAAATTTTCATAAATCTTCAGTTTCTTTGTCATGCCCGACTGTGCCTACGTAGATGCTGCTTAATGTTTGACTGTGGCTAACTGGAGTGGAGCCCGTATCTACTTAGGGTCGAATCTCCGAGACGAATGAAATACATCTGTCATAAACAAATTCAAGGATTAGATCCTTTTCTCCACGAGATTTAGAAGTTACTTTTGTATGCGCAGAAAGACCTTCACATGCCTAATACAGCACAACCACAAAGTTGAAAAATATCTGTCAAAAACTTGGCAACTGGTTTTAGTATATGCGGAACCTTCACGTGCCCAAATAAGAAGGTTTTCTAAAAGAATTAACCAAATGGCCAAAAAACTCTTCTATCCTTATTATTGTTTAATTTTTCTGTTTTCCCCCCACCCAATTCCAGCTGAGGTGATCTAGCAAGAAGTTATGGATGTGAAACATACGAATAAAAGATTAAAGAGTTAAAAGCGCATCTCATAACAGAAAATCATACCTCTCTCAGGCTACAGGTATCAAAACTGTGAGATTACTGTTCAATCACTTAAGGGGAGAGCAACGTCAAGGTTCTTCCGCAGCAACCATCCTTTGGGATAAACAAGACTATGAGTTTCCAAATGAAGATGCCAGTTCATTATTGCGGCACAACCAGCAGGTGTGCCTTCCATTTGACTTTCATCCTCCACGACTTGTTCTATAAATGTGGTCTCCTAAAAAACACAAACTTTCAAGCATTATATCACAAATTTCAAGAAGACGATTGCAGAAGAGAACGGAAATCACAATAAAATTAATCATACTTGAAAACCCTCCTTCAAAGTGTCTAACTGTCGAATAGGAATTGATGTTGGGCGTCGCCATCTCTTTGGATCCCACAAAATTGTGCTGTTAAAAGCAAATCCTGACATATCAACATGAAACCTTCGCAGCCTCTTACTTTTCTCATTTGTGTGCCAACCAACTACTTGACTTCCATTGCACACTGGACCTTCCAAGATGGCCTTGTTTTTGCTTTGTGCGAGCATTGCAACAGGCCAAGTGCCAAAACGGCTACAAAACAAATAGATCACAATATGGATCTGCTAGATTGAAAAGGTAGGTGGATAGAATATAAAACTGATAGTTGTTTTGCATTTATAAAAGTCCTTTTAGCACTAAAAGTAGATATAGACACCAATTGCAGCAATTGCTGATGAAGGTAATTCTGGTAGTTGATTGCTGACTTCTAAACAGAAAGAATCACTCAGTAACTATCTCAACTCTGACAAAGGCAGTCAATTGTTGATACCGTCTTTAAAACCTCATGATAAGGAGATATCAATATTCTCTCAATCTGTGATGATTAAATGATGGGGATAGGGAATAAGAAAAGAGGGGCTTAAGAAAAATGTACAGTGTTGGCCTAAAAAAGTTAGGTAATAGAACCTTACACGTTACGCCATAGATTTAGCTCCAAAGGCCAATGGTGAGAGAAATAAGTGTTAGACGGAACCAAAGAATTACAAAGAGAGGCTATTCATCATTTTTCACAAAGTTAATCAAACAAGCGAAAAGGCAGTTCATGAACTCAAGCTCACAGAGAAAACGCAGAACCTCATACCATATGCATCATTCATTTACACAATTTGTTATGTTCACAGTTTTGATTTAGCATATTGAAAGGCTAACATAAAGGGGTATCTTGTAAACAAAGAGGTCCAACAATAATACTCGTAAACAACGTTAAGTGAATGTATATAAAAAAAAGCAACAAATATGATAATTCTAAAAAAATTATTCCAATTGCCGAAAGTACGGAAAAGCATGGAACAAAGAGATACCTAATGTTTCTCAAGCTGTAGAACAACTCTAGCGAATATATGTTGTCGTCGTCAGCAAAATAAACAATGCCGTCAAGCCTGTGATGCTCAATGTGCTCTAAAGCAGTGTTCCTCTGATGCACGCCTCGGTCCTTCACCTCCGTCGAGTTCTTAGCGCACACCAGATGCCTATACATCACTCCAGTCTTCCTCAGAATCTCGGCGGTCTCCATCGACGCCGAGTTCATCTCCACCACAATCCACAGTAACGGCGGAGGCACGAGCCGCAGCACCTGCCCTAACCTGTTCAAGAAATAGGCCTGCAGCGGCCTGTTGTACGTCGGCGTCACCACGATGAGCTGGTTCCTTGGCACGAAGACGAGCCCGTCGCCGCTCGATTCGGAGCGCACCGCCTCGATACCAAGCCTCACATCCACCACAAACTCCTCCTTCTTCACGGCGGCGACCGCTCCGCCGCCATCGTTGAATCTCACATTGACGTGCGGCGGCTTGATGTCGAAGGAGAAGTCGCGCGCGCGAATTTCCTCGTCGGCGTGATCGAACGGCATCATCCCGAGCAGGAAACCGATGAGGAAGAAGACGGCGCACCTGAAGAACGCCCTCCGCAGTCCCTGAGGACCTTTCCGCCGGAAATTAACCGCGAAGGCGGCGACGGCCGAGAACAGCGACGGCGAGTAGTACTTCGTACTTGAGACGAAGTTATGAGACGGCGAATTCACTCCTCCGTTCTGGTAGTGCCGGTCCTGGTACGCCGGCGACTGAGTTCTCCGGATCGACGCCATTGTTGACAATCCCAATATCAATCGAAAGCGATCACCGAGTTCTAATCCTCTCCTACATGATCCAATCCAATACCTTCAACTACAACCCGAGAAAGCCTCTCCTTTCGTCTTCTTCACCGGATCGAGGAATCCAAAGGTCGCGAATTTGGGGAAGTCTGAGCAAATCGCCGAGAAGAGGATCGATCGGAGACGGAGAAGAAAGAAATGAGTGAAATTCGGATTGAGAAAGCGCCAAATGTGAAGTTGGAAGAGGAAAAAGGACTGAGGAGGCGGCTAAGATCTAGCTTTCGGAGCTCTTCGCAAATGGAGGTCTTTTGGGCCCGGTTTTAGCGCGGAGAGAGAGATTTAAGACAACACACAGCAAGGAGTGTAATAAAGAAAAATGGATTTTATGTCCCGTTTATTTTAATATTTTTTAGAATAATTTATTTAGTTCTCATTTATTTTATTAATTTAAATTTAAAATTTAAATTTTATTACAGTAAAAATTTTTAAAAAATAATTACACCTAATCTTTTTATTATAATAAAAAATTTTCACATAAAATTACATTATAAATTAAATTAAAAATTTAAATTAATAAATTAAACGAACTTTATTATTTATATTTATAGTTATTTGCGAAATTAAATTAGAATGAGAAAAGCATTTAAAAAAAAAAAAGGAATGAGAAAAGGAGAGAGGTTTGGGAGTATATTTATTCAGAGCCTACGCGTTTGTGCGCGCTTTAGGGATTTACACGTGGCTGGTTTTGGTGACTGATGCACGCTCCTCTGTTCTTTCTTTCGTTATCGTTGTTTTCTTGTCTGGAAGTGGATTAAAGCAGCTGGACATGGTTGTAGCAGGGAAAGCAACGGGGTGGGGGTTCCATTCTCATCCCCGTCTCAATCGCCGTTTAAGAAGAGAAGGGGCCAGGAATGGGAATTCTAAGTTCGATAGTCTTTTTCGTACCCGTCTCACTTTACATCTAATATAATTATACATTTTAAAAGATTATAGGAATTTAAAACAAAAATGAATATAAACTTAAATCAAAATTAAATTAGGTTTTTAAAATAAATTATATGCAAATCCAACTTAGTAATAACGCCATAAATCATTAATTTAATTTGAAAATTTAATATTACATAATATTTATTTATATATTATATATATAATATATGTATATTTAGATGAAGGCGGGGTGAAAAGTACTTCTCTTGTATCTGCTCTATCATAACTTGGAGATAAAATATTTTCTCCATGTCTGTTCCCATCTCTAATTATTATCTCCATGGCTACCCAATTTGAGTGGATTCCAATCTTCGTGGGGATTATTGTCATCTTTAGGTTGTAGCATAATGTTAAAGCTTTGCTATTGTGTGTGTGTTTCAATTTCTATCATCAACATTTCCTTTTTATTAAAGAAAAATAATAATGACTAATTTCAAATTTAATCCCAAATACCATCTATGGTAGTGGCATAATAGCGAATGACAATCTACTTAGGCTTTCTCACTTATCATAGATTGAATTTTGTTGTCCGCTTATGAGGTTAAAATTATGCCTCTAAAAGGTCTATTGGTCAAGTTTCTTTCATTCCACTTGTGGTCCTGGCAAGTTGTTAAGTGACCGTTAGATTGGGGTGTAAAGATGATTGCAATGCGAGGGTTGGGAGCTAAGGAAGAGACAAAACTTAATGACAAATTTAATACATTATCCTTTACTAAACGGATCCGAATATGATGTTTAAATTGTGGTGTTCTAATTAGTATTTAACAAATCAAATTATACCACATTATTATATGATAAATATATAAAAAAAACTAATTAAAAATATGACGTGATATGATATGATTAGTTAGACACCAATTAGACACTAAAATTGAACAATAAATTTAAGTCCTTACCAAACAGTAGTCACATGATGTGACCACACATGATTAAAAAGTTAAAAAAAATGACGCATAAATAAAGGAAACACCAAAATTGCAATATATTATAATCTCAGGGAATGTTTTGTGCTATTTTAAATTATAAGAGACAAAATGAGACAACCACTATTTTTGAGGGGTCAATTTCTAAATTAACTAAAATAATAATAATAAACAAATAACTGTTGCCTTCTAGTTCTATCAAGAAAAAAAATATCAGGTTTGATTCTGGTTGTAAAATAAGATTATTTAGCCCTTTTTCTGTTTATTTTTAAGAAAAAACATGAATGAATTATTCACATTTACCTTGCGAAATTAGTACATATATGACACCACGTCATTTTCGTGAAGACATTTGATTAACGAAGCTAATCAATTTTTTTTTGTCTTTATTTTGGAAATAAACAACCGCTTAATTGCTCAAAGTCAACTAGAAACAAGAGCGTGACCCGTGTCCTAATAGAACACTCCTCCAACCACACCATAATCCCTTTATAAAACAAAACAAAACAAAGTGTGCTTTATGTATATTCAAAAAGAAAAAAAAGTGTGCTTTATGTTTGCCACATTATTACAGGTGGCAATATAGACCATCACTTTTGATTCACTTGCACTATCATCCACCTAAAATGTCCTCCACTGCTATAATTTCTGTTCTGCTTAATTTCCATTAAATATAAGAAGACAATGTAAATGACAAAAACTTCTGATTACTGTCCTCTCCAAATAAGATAATCCACAATTATTAATAGACTTGGGGTACTAATAAAGTAACAATAAATGGTACTGTGTTAGTTGTTCAGGAATTTGATCAGAAAAGTATATACTATAGTTTCTTTAATCGAGTTTTTAATTTGAGTTGAGATGTAATTTGACGTGAGAGTTTTTAACTGTAGTAAAAAAGTTATATGTGACTGTTTATAATAACTTTTTACTGTAACAAAATTCGAATTCTAAACTCGGGTCGATAAAATGAACGAGCCTACATAGTAACAAGAATTAAAAATAACTCACTTAGAATAATTTACACATGACTGTAATAATTGATATCTTTTCTAATAGATTGGCCTACCGGTACGATTAGTTTCTAACAATTAGATTCGATCAAAATCACATTAGTTTAAAAAAGTATGCAGGACTGACAATTTCTGACACAAATCTAATAATTAAAAAATAGAGAACTACTAATAATTTATTTTTTTGAATCCTACCAAACAAACTCGATAATTTTAGCAATATTTCCTTTTCATTTGTTGCAAGTCTTAATACTATTTTGACTTACAAATAAAGTCTCTATCACTTCTAAACCAAGTAGAACAAAATTAAACACTATTCTATACTACAACTTAAGTGTCGGCATTTTTGTGCAAGTAAATGACCCCTCGCCAAACAAAAAGGAATATAATAGTACAAATCAAGTTCCTCATCAAAATGATTATGAACAAATTAATATTACGCCCAAACCACAAAAAAGAGATTATTCTTTCTGCCCTCCTAAAATTAATAGAGAATTTAACTTAGCAATGACCCAGCTAATACATTAGTGGATGTAGATGAAATTAACAGCTTAACTAGCAAATTAATGTCTCTTTTGTCTCACATGGGGAATCTGCCTCACCCTTTTGTTCAACTTCTTGCTTAAAAATTGATGTTCCAATTGACGATTAGATTGATTCGTCCTGATTAATGATGATGATATATGATGCTTTGTCAATTTTGTCATTACTTAACAAAGATGTTTAATTAGCAAAAAATTACTTAACAAAGATACCTAACCTTGCCGTTTAAGCATAAAAGTTTTCCTCTTTCGAGTAATCGGAGGAGTAATCGGTTGGGTTAAGTTTACAGCAAACACATTGCTCAATAGCTGATCCTATCAAATAGCAATATTTTCATTTTGGTTAATCATACGTGGATTTTAGTTAACATTTTGAGACCTCTATTAGTTGATAATTTTACGGATTACTTATTGTGTCGTATTTTATACTTTTTAAAATATTAGTGCTAATATTATGGGCTAAATATTTAAAAAATATTTTATACTTTTTAAAATATTAGTGCTAATTGTAATTCATTTAAAAAAATATGTTTTTTTTAATTCACAACATTCTCATGCATAACTAAACACAATAATGTAATATTCATGAGAATTTGAGAAAGATTCATGTATGAAACCAAACACAGTAATGTATTATTCTTAAGAATTATATTACCCTCCATCCTTTTCTCAGAAATATAATTTTTACTAATTACTGCGTACCAAACACGCCCGAAGAGGCTAGAGATCTGTTTGCAGACTTTTGTATATTAAAATTTGGTCTCATCGGCTCAGCTTAAAATGACTAGTTGTTATCATGTTTTGAGGCAAACGGAAAAAGACAGTAGAGATTGGACTCCTTGGAGTTATATATCCACTTTTTAGGGGTTATATATATATATATATATATATATATATATCCACTTTTAGTTAAGAGAAAGCACGTATTCACCCAAAAGAGAGAGAGAGAGAGAGAGAAAGAAGCATGTGACGCAAAGATAAACTAACACAAAGTCTGCCCATAGAATATGTATGTGTCATGCATGTACGTATATACGTATGTATGTATGTGTATATGTATATATGTATATTTATGTGTTGCCTACCTGCAACAATGAATTTACAGTGGAAAATTGTATGTTCATCGAATAGTATATTCTGGAGTCTTTTCCAAATAATATCAACCACCACTGATCAGATCATTCTTTGACCGTCCACAACAACTCCACCATACAAAAAAATGGACAATTATCTGAAACCCTTGAATTAGACTAAACATATTTAGAGATTACTGTTGCAAAACTCAAAATTGTTTTAAAATATACCAAAAATGTATATAAATGTCGCCTACAAGACCTGCTGTATAATTTTCACAATTATTTTTGTTCTATTTTCCTGTTCTTAGTTCTCAGATTTACAGCAGTTTAAACATTTCTCCCTATATATATATCATCGGATTTGGCATTAATTAGTAACAAGTTCATGATGTTATTGGTATTTGCTGACTAACTGATTAGAAATAACAGTTTAGTGTTTTTTATTTTTTATTTTTTTCAGATGGAAGTTGGATGCATGGAAGGAGGTTTTTTGCTGGCGGAATAAAGTTTGAGGGGATGTAATAGTACATTTTAAAATTTAGGGAGCAAATGACATAAGTGATATAATTTAAGGGGTAAAATGAAAATTATTCTTCTTCTTTCTTTTTTTTGTAATTTATTATCGTTTGTTTGGTTATTTATTTTCTTTTTCGTTTTTATTCTATGAAGGCTAATGGTTGTAGGCTGTAGGATTTTTTTTTTTCGTTTATGTTTCTTTAAATGAAATTCAACTTATTGTAGGCTCTTAAGAAATTGACCTTTTTGGATACCCTGAAAGCTAATCAAGATATTGAACTAGTTTTA